GCCGCACAGCGCGGGGAGCACCACAGGCATGTGTGGGACTGGAACTTGGAGGGGACACGGGGCCGCCACGGCATGGGGACAGCTCTGCTCAGTGCTGTTCCTCTCCTCATACCGCTCCTCCGACCTCACTGCCATGGTCAGAGGTGCTCATGCACCCCAGGCCGGGAGCACAGCACCTGTGACATACGCGTGGCACCCTCTGCCAGGCAAGAGAGCCAGGTCCAGGGGGAAATGGCACCAGAGCAGCCCAGCACTGGCTCTGGAGGGCTCAGCAGAGCTGGAGATGGACAGCCCAGCCAGGGAATGGGGCAAGCATCCAGGCCTACAGTGGGAATCTGCCCAATACCAGGCTCAGCTTCACTGGGTGTCCCTTGTCCCTACCCTGCGATCCTGACATGGGGAGCACCACTGGCCCCCCGTGGCCAATCCACGTGGCACCTGGAGGGCTCAGCAGTGGGAGATGCAGCAGAGCACAGGGAAGGAGAGGGATGCAGAAGGAGGTGGTGGCACTCTGGCACCTCTGGCTTTTGCCAGCAGGGACTGAAGAGGGGTGTGTGGGGGACAGTGCTGGGCACAGACCAAGTGTTGTCCCCATCCCCACATGTCACTCCGAGAGGCCACTGCAGTGGCAGCACCTGGAGCAGGTTAGAATGAAGGGGACTCTGAGCTGGAGGCTCTTCTTGTCCTGTACAGTCCCTCAGCAATGACAGCAATGATGGCACTGGGCCCTAGGGAACACCATGTCAGGCCTGCACAGCACCAGGACATGGGGGGATACCATGTTGGCCCTGCATGGCACAAGGAAACACACACTGGCCCCAAGTGGTACTATGGACATGGGGGATGCCACACCAGAGCAGGGACATGAGGGATGCCTGCCCAGCACCAGGGCACAGGGGACACTACACTGGCCCTGCTTGGCCAGGAACACCCCTGCATGACCAGGGATGGGGGACACCACACCAGCCTTGCACAATTCCAGGAAAACAGCATTCGGGGAGCACTTGGCCCTGGAGGGAGGGACACTGGGTGCAGCCAGGAAGGGACTGTGTGTCCAGTGACCTGATGCCACACGAGGTCCCTGTCCATACCCAGTGACAGTCCCCAGCCCCCCAGTTCATCCCATGCACCAGGCCTGAAACCTGCGGCTGCATCAGCACCATGAATTATTCACTCTGGGGCGGAACGCCTCGACAGAGCAGTTATATCCTACAGCGAGTAGATACTCATGGAGCTACACACGTACAGCCGGAGACACACACGTACAGCCACACGCACGCCCCCGCAGCCTCACACCTGGCCACGCACACTCGGTGCACACACGGGGAGCCGTGCACAGCCAGCCGCAGGGACGCACCGGGAGATACCCGCGGAGCGACATCCAAACACCCCCACACCGAGAGGCACCAACAGCCCAGCCAAACACACAGATGCCAGGGTACACACCGCCACGCAAACACCCCACGCACCCAAACACAGCCGCACACGCACCCGCGGCAGCGCGGACACACGCAGAGGTGTGCGGGCGCTGAGCCCCGGGGCTCACACGCGCGGGCCGGGCACACTCGTTCCACGCACACGCAGATGTGCCCGGCGCCGCCCGGCCGCAGCCCCTGCCCAGGCCAAACATCCTGGGGGCACCGGGCCCGGCTCCCGGGGGTCGGGAGTTGGTCCCGGCCGCGGGGCAAGGGCCGCCCGACTGGGAACCGGCCGCACCGGGAGCTACCCCGGGACCGGCGGGGGACCCTGTGCAGCGCCCAGCACTCGCGCAGCGCCCGAGGATGTTCCGAGCCCCGCCGGGATGCTCAGACCCTCACCGGGCAGCCCTCTCCCCGCCCCTCCCGGGGCGCCACCGGGGGTCCCCGGCACGTCCACGGCCCCCGCCCGCCTGCGACGCGCCGCAGCCGGGGAAGGGCCGGGGATGCTCCGGGGCCGGGGATGCTCCGGGGCGGGCAGGGCGGTAACGCGGCCGGGCCCCGGGAGCAGCGCTGGGATGCGGCCCCGAGCCGCCGCGCCTGCTGTTGCGACGCCGGTGTCCGTGTGTGTCCCCCCCCGGGTCCCCTCCCGCCGCCGCCCCCCGCCCGGCCCCGCCGCCGTCGCCGCACTCACTGGCTTTGCCGGGCTTGGGCCTCTGCAGCAGCTTCTGCACGGCCGCGATGTCCTCCGCCTTCACCGCCTGCACCAGCTCCTGGTCCTTGCCCATGGCTGCGCCGCGCCGGGGCTGCCGGCTGCGGGCTCACGGCCCGAGCATCCTCCGCGGCGCGGCGCGGCGAGGGGCGGGGGG